ATTTCTTAATAAAAACCAATTAGATTTCTAATAATCATTGTTCTTTGTCAAATACTATCATCATGTGAGAGAAATATTATTATTATAGATAAATGTTGAGCTTCTTATGGTAATGATGCTATACTCATCTTCCTGGTTTTTTGCATAAATATATCAACAAATAGCTAAATAATATATAACATGTCACAACGGTGACAATATGTGAAACAAAATAAAAGTACAAAAAAAAGGAATACTTTCAAATTAGTAATTTTGAAGACACTATTATTGTAGGAATAATTTAAGACAAAACTTTAAAGATTATATATTAAATATTATTATGAGTTCTGAACTCTGATAAATAATCTTATAATATAGATATTCAGCCAATATCTATTGTAATTTCTTGTAATTCACTAACTTTAATCCAGTTGTGTTAGAATCAGTACATAGTATAGCTTCTTTTATTTTATCTAATATAGAATAAGATATTATTACTACTAAAAAATATTTTTTTTTGTATTTACTTAGTGTGTAAACAGTCCTATAGTAATATAGTACTGATATTCTATAGCAATCTAGTTGAATTATCCAGTAGTATATAATAAAGATAAGTATTATAATAATATTAATTATAAAATCAATTAATGTATAATTTTATTAAATAATAAACAAGAAGCAATTTATTGACTAACTAGATTTTGTATTGATCAATTGATGTCTTTTGATTTATCCAAAAAATTCTTTATTTATATAAAATATTTCATAATAAGAATATTATAATATAAAATATATTATATATTAGATAAATATACTATAGTGAATAATGTTGATATGTCTAAGAACTTTGTTATTTCTATTATTTCTACAATCTATATTCAATTATATAATCAAAATTAAGAAATTAGGAATAATTTTGAATTATAATAATATTATACTAATATCTTCAAAGAAATAATTAGACAAGAATGATCAAATATTTTACCTGTATTTAGAGACTGTATAAAAAAGTTGAACAAGATATATAATTCAGCAAGTTATAGAGTTAGTATATCAATATTACCATTTGTTATCCAAAATTCATATTATTTTTATATGTGAATTATTTTTAAAAACAAAGAAGATTATGAAAATATAGAAATCAAAAATATATTAAGAAAAAGTTTTGTCCAGAAGTGATTAAGAATACAAAAAAACTTTTTCAATTAACAAATAACAATATTATCATTATAGAAAAGAGTAAAATTGTTATCAAATTACATATTGAAATAAGAAATATAAATATTTTTACTAAAATTATTTGTCTAATAATATCAATATTGTGAATTAAAAATGAGATTACAATTAGTTGTAACTTAATTTGGGTATTACAAGTCATAATTAATTAAGATATTATCTTTACTATAAATAAAAAAACTTGAGATTAAATTGGTGAAATTTATTAAAAACTTATACAAAATATGAAATTTGTATTATTTATTGATGATTTTACTATCAAATATGAACTTAAAGAAAAAGCTATACAATTATAAAGAAAATAAGCAAAAATTCTTTCAAATTATAATCAAACTTATCCTGCTTCTGAATTTTTGATATTACTTTTTTTTAGATTCAAGATGCAAAATAGTAAAGATAATTCAGATTCCAAAAAAATAATCAATTTTTAGATAAATAAATTGTTGAAAAAATAAAAAATCCTAAGACTTACTATTGAAAAAGAAAATAAAACTTCTCAAGTTAAATTAGAAAATTAATTTAATAAGAATAAAAGAGAAAAATATTACTGGATAATTAGTTGTGGAATTTTACTATATTTTTTAGTTATTTTAATTATTAAAATAATAAAAATCAAGAGAAATAAGAGTTAATTTTGTGATTTTTTTATTTAATTAAAAATTATATTGGCTTGGAACAAATAATATTTTTAAATTCATCTCATAAATATTGTGATAAAGATATTCTTGCTCTTTGTAATCTAAAGAAGGAGAATTTAGAATTAGAATTAAAAAAAATTTAATTTCTTTGATAATTTCAAAATACTTGCTTTTCTGATTTTTAATAATTAAATTTAGTAAAAGTATTATTAATAATTAATTGGACTTGACAGATATTTTTGTAAGCCAATTTTTTAAAAAAATTCTCAATTTGAAATTAAGATCTAAATATTAAAATTTTTTTCATTATTATAATATTAAGCTTTGTTTAATTTTATTATACTTGATTTTTTCACGATTTTAACAATATACTTTATATAGTTTATTATTATCTTTCAGTATAATTTTTTAATCAATTCAAAATTACTATCATACTTAAATTTAATATGATTAGATATTATAAAATTTAATTTGATACTTTTATAATAATTACAAATTATTAAATAAAGATAAAATCAAATGGTAACATTATTTTTATTCTGCTCACCCATATTATTACTAAAGATAAAATCGCAACTAGTTATAACTTGATCACAATTTTTTGATTGGTTATCATAATTATTGCAAATTGCAATTAATTAAAATGTTATCTTTAATTATTATAAGTAATCTTTAAATATTTTTTGTCTTTATTCAATTTTTTTTATTTTATTAAATATCAGATTCAGTATTATTAGAATCTTTGCTGATAATTTTATCTTTATTGAGAATATAATTAATTTGTTCACATACTGCTTCATTTTAAATATCAAATAAATATACTTAATGCAGATTAAGATAATAAATTTTACTTACTTGTTAATTGGAGTGAGATATGTGAATATTTTAAACTCAATCATAATTGTAATAGGTAGTTATATCAATATTATTATAATCAGCTTTATCTCTTGTTATAAAATATTCATCTATCAATTTTCTTTGTTATTCTACTAATTTTGTATTTTTTTGTAATAATTTCTCTTTAATTTAGTCTTTACAAAATATTCTTTGTAGTTTTTTAGTAAATCTTTTGCTTCTTCTTATAAGCATTATACTATAAGCTATTTCAAAAATGTTGATATATATCATATAAATCTCATAATTTAAATATAAGCTATTAATTAATATTATAGCTTGCAAAAAATATTATATTTTAACATACTATTATTTTTGAAATATGCAATAAAATCATAATAAACTAATTTGTAATTTATTTTGATTGACAAAAATATAAGTAATTAAGTAATTCAGTTTACATTTCTATCAGAACTTGATAATTCATGAATTTAGCATAATTTTCAAGAAAATTCTTGATAATAATAATAACAACAATTATATTAATGATTATTTTGATTTTTTATCATAGTATTTATTTTATATTATTATAAACATGCAGTATTATATTATTCATTACTAAATGATTTCTGATATTTTCAAAGTGCATGCAACCAATTTCTAATATATTGAGATAAATTTTCTGATATTGAGACATATTATAATCTCAATAATAAAAAGTTCTTTTATTAGTACATGTTTTCTTTTAAGATATTAGCTAGCAGTTATTTTTCATTATTTATTGCTTTTAGCTGAACTATTAAAATATATCTTGTTCAGAACTAGAGAGAGCTTGAAATGCTTCATGTAATTCAGCAAACCTTTCTCTCAAAATCTTTTTTGAGCAATTACAATTGTAACCTATTTCCAAGAAATGCATTGCTTTTTTATATTAAAACTGTTATAATTATAAATTTCCATATATGAATAATTTTATATATAAATTTTATCAATTTGTATAAGATATTTTTGCAAAGATTTAGTTCCTAAATAACTTCCAGCAAATGTTTTTCTTTTAGTTTTTTTAACCCTGTTATGTGCAAAGTGAGTACTAAACATTCGTAATAGAAACTAACATGATATTTAATCGCTAACTAGGATTTTCATTACTATTTAACAATACCATAATTGCAATCATTGCTCAATTGCTTTATTCATTTTTTTTGTATTGTTCTTATGTAAAAGTGCTAGTTAGTGCATCATTTAAATATGAATACAAAGATCAGTTTAGACTTCTTAATTAATTCTTAGTATTAGCTAATTTTTAAATCACTAATTGTACGTGTTAGCCCTAACATATACTGTAATATAAAGTAGCTGTCGAGCAGATATTTATCGTGTTCAGTCTGTATAGGTTTAGCTGGTTGAGCATTGCTGTGCCACCGAATTTGTGGGTTCATAAAATGAGGATACTCAATCTGACCTGCTGATCCGGCCCAATCAAAATCTACGATCTTTACTCGTCCATCATTTGCAATCATAATATTTTCGCCCCTCAAATCGCCATGTACATATCCCAACTCGTGGAACGAGTTCATCACTGTAATCACATTATCTTTTACCCCTGCTTTGTCATCAACATCCTCCATTCATTGTCTGGTAAATACTCTATTATCACTATTTTTCAGCCTCTATCAAGTTCGCCAAATCCCAACAATGCCGGTGCAAATCCTTTTTCAGCTGCAGCAACGTGAGCTTGTAGTCCATATCACATGGTAAACTTGACAAATACCAGACGATCTGCTGTATTTGAAAGCTTTGCTACATAGAGTGGTCTTTTATCAGTAAGACGTTGTATGTAAGTGAATGACATAGGACTACTAGATGACCCAAGACTGTGGAAGACTCGGACATATGGAAAAACAGCCGCTCGACGATCATTATTGTCTGATGCAGACAGTTTCTGACGATAAAATTCATTGAGATTGCAAATACTCTGCTTAAAAGCTTTGAATGTTCAAGCCATTCTGAGCATGGTTGGATACTCATTTGGAAGATAAACAATGGAATCACTAGTCCAAGGGGATCACATATGGGTAAGTCAGTACAGATGGCACCAGCAAATCCAAGAAACGGACCTGCCAGATATAAAATAAACACGGGCAAAAAGTTTTCTGATAATGCTTGAGTTGATTTTCGCTTGCATCCACCACGTGCTGTGAATAGTATGCAGTAGCTTGAACAAACGCACACCCATGGCCCTTTCCAAATTCGGATTTGACTTCTAAGATAGCTAAGATTATATCTTCGCCCTCAACGGTCACCGTTCTATGTCCATCAGTCTCGTATGCACCTACCTTGTTGGCATTAAAGCTATATTTACTTGGATAGTTTCGTATAATATCAATAAATGCCATCTTCCGCTTGTCCTCATTGTCAAAGGCTTTGCACATTTCCACGGAAATATCAACAGCAAACTTTTCATCTTGAACATCTACTTGGCATGACTCACACAGAGCCATGAAATCACTAAATATATGATGATAGAGATATATTGGAATGTCATATGCTTGAGCAGGGCGATGGTTCAACACAACCGGTTGTACGCCTTGAATGGAACTCCATGAGGACGAAAATGCTGATGGCTTGATTTTTTTCAACCGTTTAAGCACATCGGGTGAAAAGGAGATGTCATTATCATCGAAGTCTACATCCATCCGCATCCGTTTTGACAGGGCTGTCCTCCATGTACGTTGTAGACCATAAAAGCAGGAACAAATTCGTCAACGTCGAAATGATAGAAATACATATAATAATGTTCTCCCAACAAACTCATAATACAATAAAACCATCTTACTAAATTATTATACCCTATGTACACACTACTCTATGTCCCCAACGCCCGAGTCACAAAGTCGTTACCTGGGTGAGCGAGTGCCTTCTGCAACTCTTCCACATGCTTCCTACAATCCCTCACGTCTTCCTCCAGACGCTTCTTCTCCTCTTCAAGCGTCTCCCACAACCGCTGCTGCCCCTCATTTAGCCCTTCGTTCAACCACTTCAACCTCAGCTTCCCCAACAGTATCCCCTGCGCTTCGCCGTCTTCGAACTCCTGCAACGCAGCCTGCGCATTCCTGAACCGCTCCTCAGCCTTCGCCTATCGTGTTTTTTCAACGCTTGCCATTTTCTTGTTCGTTTGTTTTTTTTTTCGCTGGGGAGATGTGCTGCGTGATGTGATCTAACATACGGACACCAACTTTCTAGATCTTTTCATAATGTAACTATGATCAATGCGCAGAAATTCGCGTTTGTCTAATGATCATCCGCAGTGTATGATGAACAAACGGATATTTTATTATAAAAACAGCACTGGTTAACTTACTTCAGAAATCAACCACAACGCAATAAATATCGTTGAAGCAATACATCGTTAAAACAAATCTGTCAACTTTCGCCAATAAAACTACAAAAAATGCTCACTTTCACAAGCGAATTCTTTTTCGGAGGAACGATCTTTCATTGATGAGGTTGCTTGATCAATAGAGGCCTTGTGGGAGGCTTTTATGTTAAACTGTTTCCCTTCCTTCAAGTTTTCGTTTCTTTCTTGGTTCATCATAAGTTGGCGTTAATGGACGTTTATTGTTTATTATTTTTCGTTCTTCTTGATAAATTTCATAAGTAACTTTTTCTTGATCTAGATATTCCTCAAGAATTTTGGTATCATTTATTTTAAAAATATATAAAGCAATTATTTCTCCTTGAGCTTTCTTTAAAATGCTTCTAATGGTGCTGTAATTTTTTGGTTCCATAGTAGACTTGATGTAAATTAGTTTCATATATATTATTTTATATAGAGATAACCCTATATGGAATGTTATAATTTTTAGCAAACTGTAAATTTCAATTATATTTGCTATAATAATAAGACCTAAGATTTATGTCTGAGCCACAGCTGCCACTCAAGCAAAGCCTTTCAAAATGTTATTAGCTAAATTAATTCATTTTCCAGCCCCATCAGCCATTTTTGGTTCACACAATCAAATGTTCACTTTGTCTGGTTTTGTTGCAGCATGCCCCATATATAGCATACATACATCATAATGAAATTTCAGACAATAACGATAATACTCGATTGTAGGTAGCACAATTATATTAAATAATGCACTGATTCAAGTCTTTTATTCATCAAAAGGTATTTTTTCACATTAATCATCATCGTTATTATTGAAATTACTATTATCTACTGTGGATACAAATTAATCGTGTTGTGTATGAAAAAATAATATGCGTGTGATGTGTAATTTTTTGGCGTTATTTATCATAGAAATAATAAAAGGGGAAAAAATAAGAAAGTAGTGGTTGAAAACTTTCTACGAAGGTGTCGTTTGTGTTTATGTATTATTATTGAAAGAAGAAAAAATCTGTACAAAGTAAGAAAGGCAACGAAGGATGTTTGGAGAATTTGTTTTGATAAGGCGCTATAATCGCTAGTTAGCCTAGTAAAAGACCAAAACGAATCCTAACGATCGGAAACATATGCACCGTTGCCAAGAGTGATTATTACTCACATTGAATATGCGAATGATGGGTAAAAAGATATATAGCAAGGGGATTACAAAAAAAAATTTACAAAAAAAAAGAAATCGAATAGAGAATGTGCGAAGTAAATGAATCGAACAACGACGAAATCAATTCAGAAATATAATTTCTTGACGTCAGAGGTCCCAAATTGTTCACCGCACTTCCCACACTTACGTTGGCGGGTTTCTACTCGCGCTTTAACACAATCCCCACAAAAGACATGCATGCACTTCGTGATGCATGTGTCAATTATGCGGATACGGCATACAGGACATTTGATCATTTGCTAATAAGAGCGAATGAAGATTCAATTAATGTTATTGTTGCTATTTTTTAACAATAATTTATTTATAATAAAATCGTAAATACCTTGTAGCCGTCCAGTTCTGCTTGAAGTACTGATTTGGAGCTACCAGACAACTGCTGCTTTGATATATCCTCTAGCCTTTTTTTGTAGACAGCAGTTTCCTCTTGTGTCTTCCGCCTTAAACTAATTTCATTTTCACACTGTTCATATCTTTCTCTGTATTGATGATATATCTATTCAATCATAAAAAAATGGAATTAAACTCAATTCAATTCAATCCAATCCAATCCAATTAAAGTAATAATCTTTAAAATCATTCAAAGATTTTACCTCGTTATATTTATGTTCAGTTTTCGAGTATTTTTCACGGAGTGCGGTATTCTCATGAGTTAAATCTTGTATTTTGAGTCGATAAGTTGTTATCAGAGAGTCAGCAGCCGCAGAATCTTTTTCCATGTTACCCTATCAGGAGAAAAAACATCATTAATTATTATAAAGAAAATGGCAAAGGATCAATAAGTCACTTACGAGTTGTTGTTGAAGATTCTTGATTTGATACTCTTGCTGGCGAATATTTTCTTCCATTCGTAAACGCAATGCAGCATAATCTTTATTTTGCTGCTCCAGAGAAGCATATTTATTCGTTAATCCCTGACACTTTTGTTCCGCTTTATTTTTCTTTAAATTTAAAAGATTGTTACAAGTATTTAATAAATCATAAATCCGTGTACAGAATCAATAGCATTGTTAATCAAAGTAAAAATAATCAAATACCATTTCTGCTAATCGCATCAACTCGTTTTCGTGTTTGATAATGTCAAACATCTTTTGATTGGCTTTCTCGTCAAGCTGCTGTATTTCTTCGTCTAAAGCTGTCAAGTCTCGTACGTGCGTCTTTTCCCGCTTTAATTTCAGGCAAAAGAATGACAGAATCAGTTGCAAGTTGATTATAGAACATACAATATAAACATAGACGTAGTAAACGCTAATAATCGAGAAAAATATAATAAATTCTTACAATTTTAAGTAATCGTAATTCGTTTGATAGATCAGCTATTTTTTTGTCTTTCTCTTCAATTTTAGCCGCGAGAATATGTAACGGATCATCTCCGGGATCTCGTATTCCATACTTGTCATCATATTCATCTATACGTTGTTTTAACATTTCAACATCCTTACGATAGTTTCTTTCTGACAATCTTCGCTCTTGTGCATGTTTAATCTCAGAAGGAGCATCTTTATAACTGTCCAATTGTACACGTAAGCACGTATTCTCTTCTTTTAGTTCTCTTCAAAAAATATCCAAAAATAAATTGAATTACAAGTCCAAAAATTATATGAAAGAGAGACACGAAAATATTACATAATCAGCTTACCTAATCTGGCCTTTTAGGTTAGCTACTAATGACATGCTGTATTTTAATTTATAGAGATCAGTATCCTCAGTTGGCTCTCTTTCATTCGAGTAAAATTCTAAGCTCTCCATGTCACGAGCCTCATAGGCAGCCTTGGCATTTTCGAGACGAATATCATCCATTAATCGTCTTAGCTGAGATTTACGACCATTCGCAAGTCTTCGAAGTGCAGGAATTTGCTGAAATCCGGGTCCATTACGAGCCTTTGCTAGTTCTGCGTCATGTATTGCAGCGTCTCTTAAAGCTCGTATTCGATTTAGATCATTCTCCAACAATTGCATTTCCTTTGTAATATCCAATACTTTCTGATTGGCCTCTTTCTATTATTTGAAATAATTCATACTTAACTGGATATAAATGATCAAAAAAACACAAAGATTTTAAAAAGAGCGAAGCTTGACAAACCTCTGCTTGTTCTTGGAAGGCTCGACGACTTCCTTTCAATTCTTCCAAATCTCGACTCATGCTTTCAATAATTGAACGACATTGTTCAGCGTTTTCTTTTGAATGATAGTATTGCATCTGCAAATTTTTAAATACAGCAGTTTCTGCTATTCGTTCATCCGGAATATGTAAATACTAAGTTTTATTTGAGGATAAATATATTTTCAAATGACAAAGGTTTCATTAACTAAATTGAAGATTATTAGCAAAAAATTCAAAGCTTAATTTATATAAAAGTATTTTGAATTGAATTTATTCACCTTGATTCGTGATTGCTCAAGTTCCGATTTTAACGCAATAATCTCAGTACGTTGTCTTTCGGTCTCCTTTTCCCGCTCTATATATAAAAGCCTAAATTTTTCAGCGTCTTGGTCGACTACTGGCGAGGACTAAGAATAAAATTAAAGGACGTTGGAACTCGCAAATTAATAAAATGATAAATGTTAATTACAAAACTTAATATCAATTAATTACATGTTCCGGGGATCGAATATTACTATGATCATGAGATCGAGCGTGATCCGTATGAGATTCACTTTCCGCAGAACCACCAACATCAGGAGTCCAAAAGCCCCATGTAGGACATCTTTTTTGATCAAATCGCTTCTCGGATTTCGCTAATTCTATTTTAGTCTCTTCTAAACGAGCTTGAGTTTCGTCAAGGCGATTTTTTGTTTTCTGAAGTTTGTCTTTTAATGATGAAACCTTTTCAGAAGAATTTCAGAATTAATTTTCCTTTTAATTGTCAATAAACTACTCTTGTTAAAGTTCAATATAAATGGAGAAGCATTACCTCCGAAGACAAATCAGAGTTCTGCGATTGCATTTTATTCAGAAGTTTTTGGTTACTTTCTTTTCTGGTTAAACTTTCAACTAATTTTGTGGAATCTTTTTCATCGACCAACGCGATAATCTCAAGTACCGAATTTACAACATCTCGCGTTAGTAGACATTTTTCCTCCAACACTTGCGTAATCCTTTCGAGAGACGGTGGTGGTTCTTCTTCCCCGATTGTAATCAAATGTTTGAAAAAATTCGAGTCGTGTGATCGGACTAATATTTGTGCGCCATGACAATCAATAATAACAGCAGGAAAATTAGCAAGAATTAATTAAAGCTAAAAAAACGAGTGAAATTGCGGACAATAGAATGAAATAACTGCAGAAAAATTCGAAACTTTTTGATAGTACCAGAATGTAGATTTATCTTTGAGAGATTTGCGTTATGATCTACTCTTTTTATTATCATCCGTAGATCATCAAGCATCTAAAAATTAGTAATTAATTAATTAATTGAGGGATAAAATATGTTATTATTCAAGTCTCAAAAAAAATAAACATAATTACTTTATTCCAATATGTATTGACAATGTTCAAATAACCATCACAGTATTCATTCTTTCTCTCTAGCTCTTCCTTAATAAGTGTTATCCTTTCGAATTCACGTTTATACTCGAGCATTCTGCGAAATATAGCTTCTTTTTGATATGCCTATTTAATAAAAAAAAACAGCGGAAATTTTTTTAAAAAATTTATTACAAAAAGAATTTAACTCAATGAATTAGATAATTTTAGTCACTCCAAACAATTTTTTTTGAAAAGTTTACCTCAAGAGTCCGAGGGTCGGCTACATCGATCTTACCGGCTTCATTCAGATAAGTACTTGTCGTAGAGTTTGTATAGCCGTTGTTAACTCCATTGAGAGTATTTGTGCTTTGTGTTGATATAAGCAGTTTTTTTGCTGGTGGGCTAGTTTCCCGAGGAGGATCCTGCCTCATAGAGTATACTCTTTTTTTATCTTCCATTGTTATTATTGGAATTTTTTAATTTTTACGGAATGGCTGGTATTTTTTTTATTTTTACAGCTGCTGTTAATTCGGCGAAAAAAAGTGGTTGCCGAAAAAAAATAAGACGTAAGTTTTTGAACCAAATGCGACGGAGGAAAGTTTAACAAAAAATGTAGATGGTGGTAATTGAGAGCTAAGGAAAAAGTTGATGTACTAATTTTGAAATCGTTGAGTTGTAATGTCCACGGAAAAAGAAAGAATAAATTTTAAAAAGGTTTAGTATTGTCATTTAATCGACTATTTAGAGAGTGCAGTCTATCTTTAGCATGCGAATTATGGGTAGTGCACAGCAAAAGGCAGCTCACTGGACCGTGGAATTTTCGTAGAGTAGTTCTAACTGAGAGTCCATTTTATGACGAAAAAAAATTGCAAAACAAATAAATAAAAATAAAAAGAACATACCTTTTCTCCCTTCAACTCGATAACGTTCAAGAACTATTGAAATAAAAGAAATTGAGCTTGGTGAAGTTGTTTTGGTTTCTATCTTTACAAATGAAATCTGTTACGTCACAAATTCAGCCCGCCAATCAACGTAGAGTAATATATAATACATGGTTATCAATAATCGAATATTACACCGAAATGTCATACGACGAGAATTGTAATCCGTAGAAAAGTACCAACCCAAGTTGTTGTTTCACGTGATATACCTAAAATGCTCCGTCGATTATTAGAAATTACCGAGATCCAGCCAAAAAGAAATCAGACTAATGTTCGAACGTATATTGATTATGATTCCATCATGGTGATTAATCTGATTAGAGCCAAAGTTTTGTGTTGCATATCTTTTTAATTCGTCAAAATTGAACTCAAAAAACAGGTTTTCATTCACCTAAATGTAACGATGAAAAATGAGTCATAGCAGAAATTAGTATTTATTTTTGTTTTCGGCAGCGAGGAGGTACAAGAGATATCTTATCATCATGATTGAATAAAAATCAAAGGATTCCCATAACATAAGTATACAAATCGAAATTATAGAAGCAATCAGATTTAGTAAATTTCACAAATACCTGCTTGCACTTGGTGGATTGTAAATAATCGATAAATACCTTATCAATGCACTTTACCCATAGTCGCCTATTATGAATTACCAGTTTTAAGGTGTATGATGGTAATTAATTTAAAACTTACGTTGCGATAAAATAGCAAATACATGTTCGTACATAATGTTCTGTTCAAAAAAAGATGTACATGTACATGTATCTTCCTGTTGTTATTGCGTAGGTTTCACAAACTATACTCGATCACGCATAAAAGGAAAAGAATTTCTCGAGTAAGATGTACAACACAACGAAGTACGTACGTAGGTTTAACAATAGAGGTTTACTTATATAGCAATAGTAACTTGTATAAAGGACAATTATCATCATTTCATCTTCTAGTGAACCATACACAGTTAAATTCGAATTATCATTCACATTTTATTGATGAAGATTTTGGTATTACTAAAAAACGCGTTAACCCCCGTGGAGATTGTTGTTCTTGAAACAAAAAACAGTATACCAACAACACTAGCAACATAGACAGCATTCACTCTGATCCAACTTAAGAAAATTTGATAGGAAAGTCTTCTGATAATTACTTTGGCTTTGTTTCAATTGATAATATGCTAGACATCTTCTAAGTTGTAATTTCCAATATGCCATCTTTAGCAAAAAAAGGAAAACAACTGAACAAACATTAGGGAAGTGTCTTTTATCACCTGATTTTTGGGAGGGGAGAGAGGAAGGGTAAGTTTTATAATAAATGGAAATCACCTGATAAAAGACACTTCCTTACTACAACAGCTACAATAACCGACGAACTAATGTTGCTGAGGTTTTGTTTGTTTTTACATGTTAATAAAAAATTGTTTTAAATTTAAATATTTTAGTTAAAATAATTACTATGCACTTTTTTCAAAACCCAGCAAGAAAGAATGTATGACTTGTTTAATTGACAAGCTAATATTTTGAGAAATTATACTGTAATAAATATTTGAAGACAAAAGTATTGTTTAATAAAAAAAGTAAGCATAAGATCCTGAAATATTTCATACAAGCACATAATTTTCGTATAATAAATCACGTTTTTGATAGTTTTTTTTTTTTTAGCATGGAATGTATAATGTACAAGTACAGATGGTCAAATTTGTGCCATTTTCGTGTCAAAAAATCATGCTCGAAACATAATTATGTATAACGATAAGGAATTTGCCACATTTCCTGTACGTATCATGCCGGCCATTTTGTATCATTCCTTGCAATTTTTGTGAATTTTACGTGTTTTTTTATAATAGTGTTATTGATTACAACAGATACAATAATTAAAAAATTAATTACATTAAAATCTTGAGAGAAATCTAAATTGAAAAATCTAACTTAAAAATCAGATAATTTTTTTGCAAAATGTTTTTTATAAAATAAATTGTAATATACGTAATATTTTGTATTTTAAACTATTTATATTAGGTTATTATATTTTATAGTATATAGTAATAGAATAAATAAATTATAAGATTATGAATCATAAAGCTATAAAAGTATAGTAATATATACAGTCAGAGTTCTCTGTAACGAAATCCATGGGCTGACCCAATGTTTTCGGTGTACAAAAATATTCGGATGTCAGAAGGCTGATTTTATCGTTATCGTTATCGTTATACGTATGTATTTTTATCACTAAATTTCCTTGCTATACCAAAATATTCACTATATACAAATTTATTATAGGTAATTATAGATATTCTTATTTTATATAGTGATCCGTGAATTAGGAAAGGTGATTATACAGTCTCAGGATCAGAAATTAGAGGTAGTGCTTATACATGTACATGTATAAAGGTTTAGTTTTAAGTAGTTTTAAAAATCTGAGCTGCTGCTTAACTAGGAGGTGCTTATATAGAGATCTGACTGTATAAAGATCTATATTGGTTGTTAATTAACTTGCTATTTTACAATAAAATTAATATGAATTTTTGTTTGAGCGATTGCCGAAATCAAAAATTTAATATTTTCAATTTGATCTCTGATTCGCCACTCAGTGGTACAAAATTTTGAGAATTTGGCGGCACAAAATTCTATTCCTTGCAAAAATATGGGCAATATCGAGAGTTTTCCCCTGGTAAACTTTATTTTGGAGACTATTAATTAATAGAATTCATGTTGTTCTGCAAATTCTGCATGTGTAACATGTATGGCCACTTGACCAATAAAATACTTGACAAATATCAAAGAATTTTATAATCGTCAATAGCGAAGAATGTACGTTCGAACATGTACATGTAATACAAAATTTAATTTAATTTAATTTACATGTACATGCACTTCCTATTGACCTTGAGAATTTTGCACACTCTAATTCTGACACATATACAGTTGCGCCCACAATATTAATCTAAACAAAATACACAAGTACATGTATTCATTATACGTAAATCTAGTATTTTTTAAAAATATTTGACAATAGGATATTTTAACTATTTTTGTGAAATTGAGTTAGTAACTGTCGACCTATCTACAGAACTTTTTTTCTAAGATAAAAATCTAATTTGGGCCAATAATTAAAAATTTTCTACTCTATGATTTTCATAGAAATTGCCTCCAAATTTATTGATTTAAGATCCCGAAGGTCCGAATTTCTAAATAGTCGAATTAATGCGTCTAATTGAAGTTTGAATTTAAGGATCTAATGTCTCGATAAATTTTGAGCCAGTTTTTATGAAAATTGGTATGTAAGTAGAATAGAACATTTTTAATTAGTGGACCAAATTATGTTTTGTCTTAGAAAAAATATTTAAGTTATTTCACAAAAATGGTTAAAATATTCTGTTGTCAAATTATGTTTTGAATATCTTATTGTAATTATTTCCAATTACATGTATCTGATCGAATCCTGATGGTACACTATATATAAATGAAACTAGGTCAATTAATCTAAATGGTAATTTTTTTTATTACATCATAAAATTTGATCGAAAACATAAATAAATAAATAAATATATATACTTTAATATATTACAAACAAGTTTTTTAAGGCAACTTGGTAGCTTAAAGTATTAAGAAAGAAAATTTTTAAGCATTATATCAAAATTAAAATCAAGCATTTGAGAATGATAGAAATAAGATATGTTATTAAGTAGTCTTAAGAAAACTTGTTTGCAATATATTAAATTATATATCTGTAAATTTTTATATATTTTCAAGCAGTTTTTATAATGTAAAAATAAAACAGCGTATTTTTCTCATTATATATGGCGAGTATGGTATTTGAACCGAACTATTAGGTTTTAGCAAAGGAACACTGCTGGAATTTGATTAATAGACTTGGTGTTAAATTTCGAAATTTTTCCTTGATATCACTTTGTTATCCTATGGCATTATTATTATCGAGGCTTCCACTTATTTTGGGATCGTAAAAAAAGTTCTAATTAAGGCTTTTGGATATTTTATAATACGAATACATATTGTATCTTTTTTACAGGTAACATTATAAAATTAGTATGCGAGCAATAAAGCATAGTTTTTCAGATATCATAGTGTACAGTATCATCACCATTATGGTTTCACTTTCGTTGAAGTAACCATAAAAATTTAATGGTAACTTCAACGAAGGTGATTCCACAACAGTAACAGCAGCTGGTGTAGTTTTAATGGCAAGAATAATGGTTATCCCAGTTGTTGTTTCCGTTAAAGTTACCTTTGCTGAAGTTACCATTGTGGTTTCCATTATAGCTATATAGCTACCTACAGTTCCGTTGCCGTTTCATAGGGCCAGCGGTGGTCAAAGCAACAGAAATAAGAGCGGCGTAAGCGAAAACTGGAAAGAACATGTTAACATTTGTTAAATCGCTAAAAGCTAAGAATTCAAAATCTTCAATTGATATATTTTTTTGTTGCTTGAAAATTACAAATGCAAACTTTTGTCGAAATATTTTGATGAGAGTTTGCTAAATGGATTTTATACATGTACGTATATTGTTTTGAGGTGTACTGCCTTTCTCTATCTAGAACTATCGTTTTTTTAATCTGCAAATCATAATATACCAATACTTGCTAATGAACGTATTAAAACGTATACGGGTGGTTGATTATTTACAGTCAGTCAGTCAATGCTCAAACAGTCGCATACTTTTAAGCTGCTGTTCAATAGAGCGCTTGTTCAACAGGGCGCCACATATACTAAACAATTGCGTTTATCTTTAAATGTTCAACCTATTGTTAGGTGAACTTCTGTGCAATTTTTTAGTGTTTTTGAATCCTAAAATGCGAAAGTTTGAAATTGATTTACTCTTTTCTTGAATAAAAAAGATAGGCTTATATTACTACGCCTATAGCTATCCACTATATTTAGATGATAACGATAACGATAAGCTTAAAAGTTCACTGAATAGACATGTACTGTATATCAGTATAGTAATTTTACGTCATACGAAGAAATGTGCTAAAAGGCTAGTATGCAAGAACTGAGAGCGGGAATTACGGGGTTTTGGACGGAAGTAAAGAATTATGTTTTAGATCTGTTTTTTCACGTGTGTAAGTTGCACTGTACGACCAGAGTTGTGTCACAAAATAAGGATTCGTAGATTTCAAGAATGATAATTTTCGTTATAGAATTTTTAGATAATAAAATTTTATTTCTATTTTTTTATTCCTATCTCGATACCTATTTTCTTCCCTTCCCTAGCTCTCTATTTTATATAAAATTATCCCTATTGTCACCGTCAATGTCGCCGATCATGAGATCCAGTCACGATGAGATCACAGGGCATGGCACTAAATGGATCTATGCTGGCCAACCCATTAATAAAAATCATTGAGGTGTCCACGGACCAATTTACAAAGCATGTTTTATTTGAAACCCCGCTCCTTTCGTTTCCTTATTTGTAGATTTTCACACATGACTGTTTGTTTGTATACAAAGTTATCAGAGCTCTCTATGGCAGTATTGAAAATTGATAATTCCCTGAATTGGACAATTAGACAATTGAACAATTGGTTTAATTGAACATTGTTCAATTGAATTGGACATTTGTTATAAGATATAATTAGAATCCAGTTAGGATTATTAGGTTCAGGGTTAGAATTATATGACAAATGAAAATACATTACGTATTTCGCACATGCACCAATTTCCAAAATTTCCTAATTAAAGAAACAAAAACTACGTACCGTCCATATCGATTTCGATATTGTCTCGCATGCATTATCGTTAGAGCACGTGTAATATGGCTATATTTCCATTTATATTCATCTGCGGCAATCATTTAATACAGGTTTATCAAAGAGAACCAATTTTATTTTATAGCACAGTTAATTTTTACTCAAACAACACTTTATTATAATGCTAAAGCAATTCAGACAGAATTTATTTCGTTATTAAATACATGGAGTTATATTTACGTAAAAATCAATATGATAATTCTTTCCATTTATTTTCAAGTCTTCTATCAATCCACGACGATAACGATCTCCTCCATATCGATCGCCTCTTCTATATCCTCTACGTTTACACTCTTGTCCTGAGACCATAAAGACGACGAAAACGTTTTCTACGTGATTATTAAAAAATTGGAACGCAGATATTTGTCACTTTCTTCTGATAAAAGTTCTGCCATCCATATCTTAGAATTGAATGTAGGATGCTGTTTGATTTCTTTTTTAATGAATGGTAGGCATTAGCGTTAGTTGATTCTCGGAAAATTTTGTTTCAGATGTCATCATTGACCCGAATTTCAAATAAGAAATTAAAATGGCAATAGAAAGGAAATTGATTGGATTCATTATTATTGCTTTTGCAGAAAAGGATAAAAGAGAACACATAATTGTAAGTAGACTAGTATTGTTTCATATATCGTATAACCAATACACATGTCTACATGAAACTACTAGAGGTTGGAATCAAATCGAATCGAATAATCGACATTCGATTCGTTTTAACCTATCATTCTGATTATTTAAATCAACCTAATACTGCACGTACAGTGGCTCACACATGTAATGGAACACGAAAATTAACTTTCTAGAATTTTTATTCCATGACTATTAGTTTGAACAAAATAAAAAAGTGTTCATTTGAAAACTTGAAACCACTAATATTTTTAAAATAATTTAACAACAGATTATTTTGTGAAATAAGGTGATTTAAATCAAAATTTACAATCAGTAAATTTCTCACATTGAAGAACTTTTTTTCTACGGTGAATTCAAATTTGGACCACTAATTAAAAATGTTCTACTCTATGAAATCTACCTATTTGCCAATTTTCATAAAAATTAACCCAAATTTCACTGAGATTTGAGACCCCGAAGGACCGAATAGCATTAATTCATGTATTAATGCTCATAGCATATATTCAATATTTAGGATCTTAAATGTCTATAAAAATTAAGCCGATTTTTATGAAAAAAAAATTGGCAAATAGGTAGATTTCATAGAGTAGAGCATTTTTAATTAGTGGTCCAAATTTGAATTCACCATAGAAAAAAAGTTCTTCAATGTGAGAAATTTATTAATTGTAAATTTTGATTTAAATCACCTTATTTCACAAAATAATCTGTTGTTAAATTATTTTAAAAATATTAGTGGTTTCAAGTTTTCAAATGAACACTTTTTTATTTTGTTCAAACTAATAGTCATGGAATAAAAATTCTAGAAAGTTAATTTTCGTGTTCCATTACATGTGTGAGCCACTGTACATGTAATTTGAATTTCTAACATAATTTGAATTTGTAACATAATTCAATCAATACGTATAATCTAAAATTATAATTCAAATTTACTTCTAAATTCGAATAAATACAGTGGCTCATATAAGAAGTGCAACACTGAAAAAAAATGGCAAAATATGAATACCTCACTGCCATAGGAAAAACTTGAATAATTAAAAGTTAAGTATAGTAATTCACCAATATCTTTAGTATTGATAACTAGTGTTCCTATGAACCGAACCGAACCGGACTTTGACTTGAGTTCAAGAAAGGTTCGAAGTTCGAACCGAACTCGAACCGAACCGTTATACGAGTTCGAGTCTGGTTCGAGTT